ATATGTATATATACATGTGAATATATATATATATATGTGTGTGTGTGTGAATATATATATATATATATGGATATGAATATGAATATGAATATGAATATGAATATGAATATGAATATGGATATGAATATGAATATGAATATGAATATGAATATGAATATATATATATATATATGTATATATATATATATTTCTGTATATATATATATATATATATTTAGAGAGAGAGAGAGACTTTAGCGACTGAATACATACATGAATGAGTCAATAAAGGAATATTCGCAAAATACTTATTTGTTCATATAGTGATTTACCTCGATTGTTTTCTACGATTGCTGTTAATTTCATTGCTGCTAGTATTACTATTGTTGCCATTATTGTATGCGTGTGTGTCTGTATGCCTGTCTGGCTGTGTGCTTCTGCCTGCACGGGTTTGTGTGCTGTGTGTGCGTGTTCCTTTTTGTTTGTTGATTGTTGCGCGTGGTTGTGTGGGTGTGTGGTTGTTTGGGCGTGGGGGGCGTGTGGGGGTTTGGGCATGCGCGTGTGTGCATCTGTCCGTTCGTCAGTCAGTCTGTGTGCATCCTTGTCTGTTTGTGCATGTCGTCGAAACCGTACCGGAACTTCAAGGCGGACCATGCAAGGCAAGCGTTCAGAGACCCTAACAATAAACACCCCAGCTGCACTCAACACCGTCAACTGCGCCTTTCAGCCCCTGTGACCCGTGACAGCAAAAATATCTTGCGCAGTTTGCGGCCCTAAGCCCTACTAAATGCATAAAGCTGTTGCCAGGCGGCATGAGCTGCAAGGCTTTGTCCCAATCCTTTCCTTCCACACCAGGCCCGGCGACCGCACGAAGTTCGGATTCCTGGAATTCCCGGCCGCCACCGGCACCTTCTTCTGGATGGCTGCTTCTGTTCAGATTTGATGGCTCTATGTCTAGCAGCGCGGGATCGAGAACTTATATATGTTCGATCATCCGGATGCTCATGGCATCCAAAATCAATGCTTGTATGTGTATTTCGAACCCTGAGAACTCTCAGGTTGTTGATCTAATTATCGAGTTCGTTGTGTCGGTTTGGGGAGTTCCCATTCAAGTCTCAGTTTCCTTAGGACGGTGGGTATAGTAGTACAACTTGCACAGTGAGGATTGCTCGTGGCTTCAAACTTGGGTACCAGCTGTTGATGCCAGCAGATCAAACGAAATACAACCTCCAGCATGAGCTTGCTGAAGATTCCTTTTACTGTGGCTTCCGAAATTCACAAATTCTTTTGCTCTGGCATTTTGGCCGATAGTGAGAATGAGGATGCTGCTACACTCAAGGTCTAGTTCGGGCCAAGTCTGGCCCGGAGCACGCGAAATCCAATGTTTCCGGGGTTGAGATAGGGCACGCTTTTTGTTTTTGACACCCTCCCTCCTTGTTTTGACCCCCTTGGCTTTGAGCTGATCCCACCTCTGTCGCTTGACCCGTTTCCTCTCTCTGCTCACCCCCTCCCTCGTGTCTATGACTCCGACCCCACTTCCTCTGGTTTTTGAATCCCGAGAAAAACTTCATTTGGCCCCATCAGACAGCAATTAGAACTATTAGCATTGCTGCTACAGTGCCTACTGCTGCGGCTATACTACCACTACTACCACTGTTACAACTACTACCACCACCACCACGACGACGACTACTACTACCACCACTACTACTAGTACTACTGCTACTGCTACTGCTACTGCTACTGCTACTGCTACTGCTACTGCCACATTACTACTAGAACTAGTTGTAGTAGTAGTCGTCGTCTTCGTCGTAGCAGTAGTAAATACATTGCAGCGG